ATAAATTTAGGATTACTTATTCACAGTGGGGGAGATGGAAGGTGTGCGAGCTCTTGATTTGGGGACATTTGGATGCACTAAGGTAGTTTTGGAGTGCTGGGTTGGGTACAAGTTGATATTCGAGAGAATTTAAAGGCTTTATTGGTTTAAAAGTTAATATGAAAGGGGCATAAAGAGGGTCTGCTGCTGTCTCTCAATCCGGAACTAGGCACAAGGTCAAATAATAAACTATTAATCCTTAAATACAAAAGCAAATATTTAAAGTTCCCCCACAATCATGTTTCATCACAAAAAAAACTTTTTTTTTCCACATCGCTTTAAGGAAATTTCCATGACAGCATGAAATGCAGTTGAGCTGCTCATAGTTTCAGAGTAATAAAGTCAGTTATGATCTGAAATAAAGAATAGCGGAACACAGCATCAAAAAAATTATTATAGAGAGCTTCTCACTTTTTTTATGATTTACATGCTTCAATGGATAGAATGTTCATGTTTGGAATATTTTTTTCATTTCATGTTTGTAATCTTGAAGCGTACATGCTCATTCGTAATTTTTTTTAAAAAAAAAACTATTGTCATGTGCTGAGTTATTTTATGGTGAAAACCAGGCGGGGAAAAATTCAAAAAAATTAAACAACTAGGAAAACTAATTCATAACTTTGAAAATTTTTGATGATCATCCAGCAATATCCTATAAATGTTCGAAAAAAAAATATTTTGCTTTTTGGAAAAATTAAAAAAAATCAAATTTCAGTTTTCGTTTTACATTTTATTGAAAAGATTTTTAAAAACCACACTACAAGCCTTTTCCTTTACCAAATCATAAAAACTGGATCTTCCCAACTGGATAAATTCATAGAATAAAACTGAAAAGAAGAAAATTTTCATACTTAAAAAGGAAGATATATAAAAAATCCTTAAAATAATGGCAAGCAGCATTATTTACACATTTACAATCTTCCTCCATCTGTATCTCCACGCTAAGACATATCTTCTGTGTTATATTTGTGTACCTTCTATTTAATATAGATAAATATCATTTGTTACCATATTTTTATAGATGTTATAGTATTAAAGGGTGTTTGTAGTCGTGGTTTGACTAAGTTGGACTCTTTGAAGTTCAAAAAAATTGATTTTCTAGGTTTACGGAAACTTATTCTTGATATGAAAGACTAATTAGCTCTTGATTTCTTCCTTACTTACTTACTTTCTTGGTTAAGGTGCACGTGAGCACATTGCTGCATTCAGAGTTCGTCTAAAACTGGCTCTTTCCTTAAACAACTTCTGTAAGTTTCTAGTTCTTAGCACATTTGCATCGTTACTTACACAGCCATTCCATGAGTTCTTTGATCTACCTCGAGATCTCTTGCCATCCAAAAATTCAGATGTCGTTACTTTCAGCACTGATGAGCCTTCTGGGCGTCTGTTTACATGCACAGCCCATCTCAATCGATTTATTCGCAGCACCTTTACTTTATCACCCTCCTGGTACAGCTCATATAATTCCTAATTATGCCGACTACTTTATTCCTCCTCATCTTTTCTTCCTACTTCTCCAATGTTAACATTTTTTTAAAAGGTTAAGGAAGGAGCAGAGTATTGCAAGCCAAACCCAACCAGAAGTTAATTAGATGCTCCTCCAAATATTATTTGAGTCAGATTTTTTAAAAAAAAATTTAATTGTGTCTGATGCTAAACTTACATCCTGAAATCATTACTTTCCCTGTAATAAGCAACTGACTCAATACAAAATAATTTGATATAACATTTCAGGTCAAATCATGAAGCTCATCTTAAAATATCAAAACTAGTCATTTGTAGGAGAGCTTAAGTGCTGATTTCACTCCTCTCAACATATCAAAATCTTAGGGTGACTCCTTCACATATCCTTACAAAATGCGCTTTAAATACATTCACCTTAAACACGACATTCCAACTCATTCACTAGTTTCTATAAGAAAGAAAAATTGATGTCAATATTTGCTTTACAATTGTAACATTTTTCATTTTCCAGACTTTATTTTTCTTGTTATTTTTCCAATTCCGTTTGAACAAATGTGTCACACAAAAAAAAAGAAGTCGATGGAATCTCATGCCACTAAATGTCTTCAACCGCAGAAAAACAGAGAGTATGAAAAATGCAAGTGATTTGCGATATCGAGGACATAAATCATCATTGCATGCATATCGACAAAGTTGAAGAAGTACAGAAATTAAAAATTCATAGCATTAAAAAAAGGAGTCTGGAATGATTTATGATGCAATATCAACAATATCACACATAAGAAATGAGTTTAAAAAATTCATAATCTGATTCTCTTCTGTTTTTCGCCCCCCTTTTGGCTTGGTTCATTCATATCAATTGCGGTGTTCTTGTGTTTTTCCTCAAAATTGCATAAAGTTATAAATAAATTGCACAAACATACATGCATAAAAACATAAATTCTCGCTTAGATTATGTATTAGAAAAAAATTGAGATTTGCTGCATTTTTTAGTGTGGATGTGTGCAATGCTCCTTTGTTATTCCCTGAAGTAGATTGTGAATTTTTATTAAGGAAGAGTTTTGAAGATGATGTTAGGGTTGTGGTTGGATAAGGGTGTGATTTTGTTGAGGTTTTATGAGGTTTGGATCTACAAAGCCAAGATTTTAGAGTGGATTGAGTCATTATTGGGATAATAAAGGTGTTTTTTGCTTGATTTCTTAGTTGCAGACTTTGTGGGTGACAAGAGATTTAGAGGAAGTCCAAATAATACCTTGATGTGTTGAAAAGGACACTTGAGTCCTTAATATCCAAAAGTAGCAGTTCTCGAATGACAGGGCTGTCTTTAAACGATTTCTGAACGCGGTAATGGGCCCTATGCGCCTCAGCCAAGTTAGTAAAGTAAGTAAGTAAGTGCTTGATTTCTGCTTACATTTGCTGGTTCTTTCCTGGTCTAAAAAAATTTAGATCTTGAGCTTGGGTCATTTAAGTACCATGAAATCTTGATAGCTGAATACAGCCAACCCAAAGTCCAAATTTGTCTAGTATTCTTAACTTTCCCTCGAAATCAAAAGTTATTCTCCCCCCCCCCCCCCCCTTCACCTACCTCAAAAACCTCATTTTCCTTCAAATTTTCTATCCACAATTCTATTCAGATTTTTGCATACATTTTTAATATGTTGCGTGAAGTGAAAAATAACGAAAAAATAAAGGAATAAAGCAATAAAGAGTCAAATCATCATTTTTCATCATAAGCGGTTATATCTACTGAATATACGGGATCGTTCAGTAATGATGTCAATAATTTGACACTAAAAGCAATTGATCCCATTCAGCAGTGATAATCAAGCTGTCATTGAGTTGCCGATGAGATTTTCTTAAGTTGAATGCTGTTTGCTATATAATATACTTTATAATCATCATTCAGGCACCTGGTTTTGTTAAATTGACATAGTTCTATTTTGGCACTATCACTTGAATTTGTCCGTCATTTTCGTCCAAAAACACCTTTATTTTTAGCGAATACAGGATAAAATGATCCAAAAATGCAATATCCTACTATACATCATTCATGAACAACCCCTTAACTTCGAATGAGACCAAAAATTATGTTTAATAAACGATTTTTTGACATAATATGAAAGTGCTGGACGCAATTTCGGTTTTTTTCTTAATACGATTCGAAAAAAGTTAGATTGTAAGATGCTGCATGCTCGATATGATTATGATCAACGATAATTGTTAAGCACAAGTTCCTTCATTGTTCGCGATGCTGTTATGACATGAAAGAAGTATCAACATACACGTAAGAAAATTAAAATTGATGAACATAGGGAAAGAAAAATGGGAATTTATGAGCTTATCACTCACCTGAATTTTAAATTACTTTGGATATTACTTGCAGCGACAGGTATGCAGAGAAAGAGTGAGCGGGTTCTGTATGAGAAGAATGGAAATTTTTGCACACAGAAAATAAATCCTAATGAAGCTAAAACTCATTCACCTTAAGGCAGTGAGACACAACATTGTCGGTATAAAAAAGGGGAATGATGTGTTTGATGATAACGCAAAGGGGTGGGCAACTGGCATTGGAATTAATGTCTCTAGAATAAAGAAAGAGCTTGAATTACTGACTTATTCAATAGCTTCGAAAAAGATGCAAAAAATCAAAAATGATGCAGAAATATCAAGAATGATTCCAGAGTTAAAAAATGATGCAGAAAATTCGACAATGATGCGAAAATTCGAAAATGATTCGAAAGTTCGAAAATGATGCGAAAATTCGAAAATGATACACAAATTCCGAAAGTGATGCAGAAATTTCGACAATGATGCAGAAATTTCGACAATGATGCAAAAGTTCGAGAGTGATACAGAAAGTCCGAAAGTGATGCAGATATCAAAAATGATGCAGAAAGTTCATAAATGAAGCAGAAAGTTTAAAAATGATGCAGCAGAGTTTGAATGTTCCAAAAAAACGTTTAAATATGATGCAAATAATGTTACTGCCCCTTGCCTCTTAATTCCCCACAAAAAAGAAGTAAACGAGAACAAATGCTAATTAATAACCCAAATAACACGTTAGTTAAATTTTATTTCCATCTCTTTTCCCCACTGCCATCCCCCGAAGTCATAATCCTATCACAAAAAGGCTGATAAACGAATTAATTGTTATGCTGTCCATGATTCACGATAGTTTTTGTTGTTATGATACATTCTTGTGATGATGAATGAATATAAAACATATTTTTGTGGAACTAGTTAAGTAAAAACAACAAAAATAGCTCGCGGGTAAAATTTAATCAGGAATAGTTTTTGAGATGCTCTTTTGTGGTTTGAGAGGGGAAAATTTGAGGAATTTTAATTTTGTGTGAAATTTTAGTGATGTTTATTTTATTAAATTGATTAAAATTAGTAGAAACCAGTAAATAATTATTTTTTGGAGCAAATTGTGTTATTATTATTGCGACTTCAATTTCATCATTTATTATCTTTTTAAAACAAATTAAAATTTGGCCTTAATTCTCCGATTCCTTGTCAACAGACTGCTTTTCATCATTTTGACTATCACCAATGCTTTGATCAGGCTTATAAATAGCTTTTAACTTATTATTATCTATTCTGAGTTGTTCAATTTCATTCCCAACCCTGATGATCATATCACTGGCTCGAGCATGATCAAAACTTCTAAGTAAATCGTGATTCGATGAAGTTAAATTGAGCGTTGCTATTTCTCGGCGGCAAACTAGTAAGAAAAAAATTTGAAATTCAGAAAAGGCTTCAAAAGCTTTTTAGAGGTGGGAGAGTTTAGGACTTTGTAAAAGTTCAAAGAAATTTTTTTTTCCTTGCATAATTCCGAACGGCACAATTCGGTTAATCGATCAAAAATCTAGCACCTAGGCGGTGTGACCCCATGGTGCTGAATTTAAATTGAAGCGTTTGCGCAAGATTTCTTTTCGATTAACCGCGGGGGCTTAGCCAGGAAATTGAAGAGGAAGGAAAAAAAATTTTTGCATGAAAAATTTAAGGGGGGGATTTTTTTGATTTTTTCATAAAAACTCTAGCAAAATAAAGAAATTTGTTTACGTTGGGGGATTTGTCCCCCAAATCCAAGTTCGATATTGAATCTCATTGTCATTCCCGAATAGCCCCCCCCCCCCCCCCACCCGGCTGCGCACCTTATTAACCGACTTGTGCTATTCGGGAATGAAAATGAGATTCATTCTCGAACTCACACTAGGTATTCACACTAGCTATTCACATTAACTATTCATACTAGCTACCCGCACTAGCTAATCAAACTAGCTATTTAGACTAGCTTTTCAAAATAAAAAAAAATTGAAAAAAATTACCTTCTAATGATTGTTTAAAGTTTGTAATGCACGTAAATAAAGCTTCCTTAATTAATTGGGCTCCTTTAATCACTTTATCGGCACAAGAATTGTCCTTAAACTCCAGCTCAATATCATGAAAAACATTGTTAAAAAGAAGATCGTCGACGGCAAAAATACGGTTTCCATGCACATTAAGAAATTTCAATTGTGGATGACGCCCAAATGAGTTTGAATCCAGAACCCTAATGTCTGTCCGATACAACTTTAACTCAACCAGATTCTTTAATGGTCTAAATACATTCCTAGGCAGGAATTGAATTGGATTGACTTGAATTAATAATGTTTCTAAAGTTATGAGGCTACTGAACCATTCTGGTTTTAATGTATGTAAATCGTTGTTATTTAAAAAGAGGTTTTTGATTGCTCTTAGTCCTTTAAAAATATTCTCAGGAAGAGAGCTTAATTTATTGTGATCCAAGGCAAGTGATACGAGTCTATTTTGATTTTTAAAAAGACTTTCTGGCAAGGTTTTTAAGTGGCTGTTCATGGTTATTTGTATCAACATTAGGTTTGGGTTATTAGCGAAAGAGTTATTTGAAATTACTTTCAAGTTATTGTGATGCAATTGCACGTCCAAAAGTCTTTTACATCCACTGAATGAGAAATCATCAATTCTACTAATACCAAGTTTAAATAAACTGATGTACTTTAAATCTCTAAACTTTTTACACAACACCGATGGAACATTTAAACTTGTGCTGCTTGACTCTTCATAATGCCAAACACCTCGAACATCATCGTCATTGTCGTTAGGCTGATGTTGCCCTTTAATGTCGGAAAAATTATTAAGTCCTGATGGATTGTTGATCACTAAATCACAATAGTAGCTGCCTTTTTCAGTATATTTATAATTGCAGCTAATATCATCTATTTTACATATAACTTCATAAAATTTAACAAGCAACACAAATATTCCAATTAAATTCATTTTTGATAATTTTTCAATCTGATTTGACTTGCTAACCGATGAATTTTCAGCTTTTTATACGAATTCATACAATACTTTTTAATTAAATTTGAAATGCTTTATAAAGTGAACATAATGAATATGTCACAGCTAGAGTATTGTTTGAAGTCACCAAATTTGTTTCAAGGAAATTTCAAAGATCGACGACGATCAAAGAATTTGCTTAATTAGTGAAATGTTTTTGGCAGTTTAAGTTGGGAGCAATTTGTATCAACGTACAATACTGAGAATCCTAGGTTTGAAGAAGTACTTTGTTCAAAATCAAATCAAATCAAATCAAAGCGTGGAAACTATCCCAAATATCATATTTATCCCACATATCCCAAAAATATTCAAAATAATCCCTGAGCCTGTATGCACGATAATAAAGATATCCCAACGTATCCTTAGTGTATTGGACGTGTAATTTCAGGATATTATTGGATATCTCAATTCTAATGCATACAGGCTCAGGGATTATTTTGAATATTTTTGGGATATATGGGATAAATGGGATATTTGGGATAGTTTCCACGCCTTGAATCAAATCGAATTATTATTATTATAGATTTTTTTCGTTATCAGTTATCAAAGCTACTTTATGCATTTAATTTGATGGCATTTACATTTTAAAACTTTATTCTTTGTCTCAACTGCTTGATTATATTTTCAAGTTTGATGTTCCTTTGATCAGGTCTGATATTGCTGTTCATAGCATTCGTCATTTTTTTGATCGGATGATCAATTGACGACTCTAATTTCGGATGATTTAATGCAAAAAAAAATTTGTTAAATATTAAAGATCATTCACATCATGTTCAACTTTAACAAATTATTCTTACCTGATAACTTTTTATAATTGTCGAAACATTGCCGAAACTCTTTTTTAACTTCTTTAATGCCAACTGCACGTCGATTGGTACAAATATTCCTCCTAAAATCTGCTTCAACATTTGGATTGACATTATCGAAAAATTTCTCATCGATGGCATAAATTAAATTGTTATTGAAGAACATTCTAGTCAAATTTGGATGAATTCCGAAAGAGTCTGAGTGAATCACACTAACGCCTGTATCAAGCATTTCAAGATCAGTTAAATTACTTAAATGAGTAAAAATATTTTTCGGAATGTCACCAAAATAATTCGAATTTAGCCATAACTCTTCGACATTTTCTAATGGATGGAACCATTCAAGCTTCAAATTTTTAATTCCATTTTTCCAAAACACAAAGAATTTGAGATATTTTAATGAACGAAATATATTTTCTGGGAGGTCATCAAAATTGTTATCAGCCAAAATTAGATATTCAAGTTTATGTTGTTTTTCGAAGAGATTTTCAGGAAGTGTCTTAATTGGTTCTTCGTGAATCATAAAAATCGTCAGTTTTGTATTTTCAACAAAAGCATTTTCAGCAATTGAGGTAATATTGTTCGATCCCATCAAAAGAAAAGTAATATTTTTGCAATCTCTAAGCTCAAATTCATCAATTTTCTCAATTCCAACACTAAACATGAATAGATGTATAAGATTTGGAAACTTTCGACAAATTATTGATGGAATATTTGTAGAGAAATCAAAACGACGAAAGTGATACTCAACTGATGCAACATCTTTGTCAGACTTTCCAGGTAAATGTTCTCCAGGAATGTCAGTAAAATTGTCAAATCCATATGGATTATTAATAGTAAAATCGCAAGTGTATTTTTTATCCGGATCAATCTCCACGTATCGACAATTAATGAATATGTTCTGACCAGAAATCATATAGAAATTTGCCAGAATAATCAAAAATAATATTAACTTCATTTTCTCTTTTTGATTCAATTTTTAACTAGTGTTCAAAATCTCACCAAATTTTTCACGAGCAAAAATTTTTGTGAGCAAATTTTTTTAAAAATCTCACGAGCAAATTTTTCGTGAGCGGCTCACGAAAATTTTGCTCGTGAGATTTTCAGCTCGCGAGCTGAATTTTGCTCACGAAATTGCTCACGTGAGCCTACGTGAGCAAATTGTGACGTAATTTTTCAAAAAATTTCTATGAATAAATTTGTATGAAATTTCTTGTTATGGGATGGTTCTTCAGAATGGATGAAGCTTTTGCCAGTGACTTTTCATGACTTTGCTGGATAATTTTGAGTATGCAGGACCTTCTTGTTCCTGAATCTTGACTTGTTGCTTGGATTTTTCCTTAGTTTTGCTTAGAATCATTTCCAAAATCATAGGAGCCAATGATGGAAATAGATGTCAAAACATTCTTACAATACTTTTGAGACATCTCATATGGAACTGGTCATGTCCAACTGGGTGGAACTGCCGAAAAAATTTTTTTTTATTTTTCTATGCTTTACAGACACTTTTGGGCAGGGGTTGGAACCAAGCACTTCCTTTACTTCCAGGTCCAATTTTAGGTGCTTACTATGTCAAGAAGGTTTCGAAACATCAGGAAAACACAAAGCTTTCAAATTAGAAAGCAGTTCCTTTGTGAAATATTGCATTTGTATAAAATTTCCATACATTTTCACAAAATCTTGCGGTTTATTGAAGAATATTCGAAGGAACTGCTGAATATTTTGAAAGTTTTGTGTTTTCCTGATGTTTCGAAACCTCCTTGACATAGTAAGCACTGAAAATTGGACCTGGAAGTAACGGAAGTGCTTGGTTCCAACCCCTGCCCAAAAGTGTCTGTAAAGCATAGAAAAATAAAAAAAAATTTTTTCGGCAGTTCCACCCAGTTGGACATGACCAGTTCCATATGAGATGTCTCAAAAGTATTGTAAGAATGTTTTGACATCTATTTCCATCATTGGCTCCTATGATTTTGGAAATGATTCTAAGCAAAACTAAGGAAAAATCCAAGCAACAAGTCAAGATTCAGGAACAAGAAGGTCCTGCATACTCAAAATTATCCAGCAAAGTCATGAAAAGTCACTGGCAAAAGCTTCATCCATTCTGAAGAACCATCCCATAACAAGAAATTTCATACAAATTTATTCATAGAAATTTTTTGAAAAATTACGTCACAATTTGCTCACGTAGGCTCACGTGAGCAATTTCGTGAGCAAAATTCAGCTCGCGAGCTGAAAATCTCACGAGCAAAATTTTCGTGAGCCGCTCACGAAAAATTTGCTCGTGAGATTTTTAAAAAAATTTGCTCACAAAAATTTTTGCTCGTGAAAAATTTGGTGAGATTTTGAACACTATTTTTAACTTGAAACTTTTTTAAATGAATGCATTTTAGCTTAACCGACTTGTTTTATATAATTTTCTTTATCTTTAGCGACATGCCCTTAAGGGCTTTCACAGATTATGTCAAATTCAGCAAATTGGAACTTGAACACTTAAAGTGAAAAAAAGAAAAAAATAATGTCAATCTTTAACGTAGATTAACAATTAATTAGGCGGAATCAATTCATAAAATTGGAAATAACCTTAAAAAATCAGTTCTAAACCTTAGAGCTCTTAAAGAACTGATAAGCAGTGCTTTCAAATGGATTTTTTCAATCAATTTCATTATCAGAGATTCTGATTACTAGGAAATGGATAGAACAGTAAAGTACTTAAATCAAGTTATACTTTTAAGTGAAAAATGTTTACAACCGGTAAGAAAAAAACCAATAATATAGAGGCGACTTTCAAAACTTTCGAGTCATGTCAACAAATCATTTCATACTGCTGGAGTGCTCGTGGTTCCATTTTGATTGTCAATATTAGTAAGAACAGCTTATGAACTCATTTTGACATAAAACTGAATTTGAACTTAGCAAAAACATATAAATTAAAATTTTATTCATTTTAGTTCACACAATCTTTCACTCACTATCAACTGATAAGCATGCAATTTAGTGCATTCGATTTTATACAATTTTTGCTATCGTTGAATATTATCGGCTTCTTGGTTGAATGTTCTGATTACTTGGAAAAATGATAGGAATAGGATAAAGTAATCAAAAACGTTGAGCTTTACGCAGAAAAAATATTTAATCCACATTTTTAATTGTTTAAAAATAGAAAATGTTAAAATTTGTACCAAGTGCCTTCCAATTTTAGTCATGTTCCTTTTTGATACTCTTCAAAGTTTCATTTATTTTTAATAAAGATCCCACAACAATTCAATTTTTTAACGTCTCATTTCGCATTCAAAAAATGAATAAATTTTCATTAAATTTTCACATAATTCCTGCTCATATATTTTATTAGGCATGAAAATAACAACAGTTGAATGCATTAATTTTTTTTACGTACACAGAGAAGAGAGAAGAAAGTCTTATTGTTATTTCGGCTTACTTCATGTTATTATTATTATGTGGCGGAATTTAACAACAATGAAAGAAGGCATGCATCAACCCCTATCTCACTCATGGCTTATTATTTGCTTACATCTTACTTCAATAAAATAAATATTTTTTCGAGCATGTGGTGTTTGTTTGTGATGGAGGAGTGAATGGATTAGAAGAAAAAAAATAAATTGAACAATTTTTTGGGGTGACTTTTGGTATGGAGCGCATTTTTAAGTGATTTGAAGCTAGTTCAAGCTTAGGTTCTTAGATTTTAAATATAATGAACCAGATTTAAACAGATTTGACCAGATTCTATCAGAGCAAGATATCCTTGAGTCTATAATTTACAAATTTTAATAGACTCTTAATACCTTTGACTAGACTCTATTAGATTTAATTTTATACTGTTTTATCTCAGTATCAGCGGCTATATTCTACAATATATGTCGGATTTTGTCAGATTTCATCTTGATTTAGCTTTTGCCTTTATTCTATGAGGTATGATCAGGTTTTTGTTTAACTAGATGTATATTCTATAAGGTTCGACAAGGATGTGGTCTATTTCACAAAATTCTTGTAAATTCGACGAGATTCGTACTGCAAGAGGTTCCCATAACTTTATTCTAGCAGATTTTAATGTATACAGTCACGTTCACCAAGATACTTCTTGAGCTAGTTGTCTATGACTATATTAATTGAATTTTGAACATATTCTCGCATTAACGTATTTATATTTATAGTAGGGATTTATAGCTCTAATAAAGAAGATCGAGCCAGATTTGGTCAACATAAGATACCAATGACTTTAAAATATTAGTTCTGACTAAGCTTAGCAAGTCTTTGAGACCCTCATTAGTACTACTAAATCCATTAGTATTCCTTCAAAATTTCCCATTCAAAAGACAAACCACAACTCCATTCCCTCAAAAATGAAGCTCCAAAACTCCATCAAGAAATGTGAATTGTTGAACGTGTTAGAAAGTAGTGTGAGGGATGATAATGCACAGCAGCTTCCCACATTCCTACATTACTTTCCATACCTTTATACTTTTCACATTTTTTTGATATAAATGGAAAACATAAGCACCTACCATACTTGATGCCACTTGAGGCAATTTCTCATACCAAAACTTACTTCCTTAAAAAGGGAAGTTAAAAAGAAGGCAATAAAAAAAAGAGAGAAAGTAAATGTAAATCTTTTATTAACATTTTCATGAACATTCGTTCACATATTTATGTTTATGTTTTAGAATCAAAAAGCATAAATTCGTTTAACATGGAAAAAAAAAGCCGACGTGTGTGTGAATTTAAGTGTTTTCTCAATGAAAATAAGAAGAAAAATTGTGAAAGTGAATTTTCTTTTTCGACTTCATTGTGTCGCGTTTGTTTGATATTTATGGGGGGGGGGGGGGGGGGTGGGGGTGTACCTAGAATTGTAGATGCGAAAATATAGATTTTGCAGATTTTTGTGAGTTTTTGATAATGTAGGTTTCAAATTAAAATTTTGAACATAACCTCAAAAATTTTTAAATTTATAATTTTGAACATAACCTCAAAAATTTTCAAATTTCAACTTTTACCATCCAACATCTCAAATGTTTAACTTTAAGTCAGCAAAATCCCCATTCAACCAACTGTTTTCCTTCATAACGAAGTAAATTTTCCTCCTTCCACGCCATCAGCATCTCACTTAGTATACCATGTGAGGAATAAAATGCATGCTGTGCGTTAAAAGATATCACTCGTCTTTTGTGATGATATTAAAAGCACATAAAATGTACGTAAATTTTTATATTATTATTATATTTGCAATAATATTTTTATTTCTACGAGAGGGGAGAAAGGAGAAAAATAAATGAAAATGTTACACTTGTGCGCTGCATCGGAATGTCAAGATTCTTTTCTTTCAGTGGATTTTTGGGATTTTTATTTATGGGTTTTTTCGTTTCTACTTGTTTCAACTGTTACTTTTGAGTGTGCGTGTGTGGGGGGTTCAGAAAGGATACTAAGTGCTGGTGTTAATAGTTCTTTTTGTCTATGAAGTCTTGTATGAAAGGATGGAGCTGATGCACTAGATGATCATCATGTAATTATCATGAACGAAACTTCTTGTTGGCACAACCAAAGATAATTTAAATAGATTTGAATGTTTGGTCATGTTTAGTCTGGTCGAGCGTGATTATTGAACATTTTTTTTTGGTGAAGTGAGTTTCAGTAGGAATCGAACTTATTTTTGTTTTTGAAAAGTGTTTTTTAAGATTTTAATCATGCTGCTCTCGCCCACAAAAGCCTTTTTATTGTACTAGCAAATTCACCAATATGCAGTTCAACTTATTCTCTATTCTATTCACTTTTTACTTTGTGTCTTCATATTCAGCACTCACTTAGTTACAAGAAATTCCTTTTACCAAGTTTAGAACCTAGAAAAGCTGAGTCATCTTTAAGTTCTTAAGAATTTAACTTCTCCTACTGCTTCAACCCACTGCACCCACTGCTCACCAACTTCCTTTAATCATTATTTAACTTAAATCCATTAACATTTTTTT